TACCAAGTCATGACTTATGCAAGTAGGGATCATTTGGCTTCTTTTCCAACTTGTAACCCTTTTATTTCTTTTTCCTTTTTTCACCTGCCTAATGATTCAATCATAATATGATTGGGGAGAATCAACATCCTTGGTTTGTTCTTCATTTTAGAGGAAATACTTTTAGTTTTTCCCACTTAGTAAGATTAAGCTATAGGCTTATTATATATAGCCTTTACATTGTGGAGTTACGTTCTTTCTCTTCCTAGTTTACCATTAAGGAATACTGAATGTTGTCATTTTTCTGTATTTATTGAGATGATTATGTGATTTTTGTCCTTTATTCTGTTCATGTGCTATATTACTTTTATTGATTTGCATAAATTGAAATGTCTTTGCATCCCTGCAATTAAAGCAACTTGTTTGTGCTACCTAATCTTTTTACTGTGTTGTTGAATTCTGTTTAAGTTTATTAAGTTATATACATTTAGGAATTATCCATGTCTTCTAGATTTCTCATATTATTAGAATATAAGTGAATACTGAACTAATGATTCCCCAAATTTCATAGATATTTGTAGTGATATGTCCTTTCTCATTTTTAATTTTGGTAAATTGTGTATTTTCTCTCTTTTGTTTAGAGTGCCTAAGGATATTTCTCTTTTTTTGTTTCTTTTTTTTCTGGTCCTAGTTCTTGAAATCAGAGCCTGGGTGCTATCCTTGAACTTTTTTGCCTAAAGGCCAGTGGCCTACCACTTGAGCCACAGGTCTGGTTCCAGCTCTTTTGGTAGTTGATTGGAGGCAAGAGTCTCACAGTCTTCCTGTTCTGGCTGGCTTCAAACTGTGATCCTCAGATCTCCTGAGTAACTAGGATTACAGGCATGATGAGCCACTGGCACTCAGCTTGGCTAAGAATTTTTAAAATCTTTTTTACCTTCTCAAATAATAAACTCTGATTAATTTCCTGTATTGTTATTTTGTTTCATGGTACTCAGATTTGAACTTAGTCTCTTCCACTTGCTGGGCTGTAGTTGAGCCAAGTTCTACAGCATTTTTGCTTTAGTTATTTTTGTAATAAAGTCTATTTTTTTCCCCTGGACTGGCCTGGACTTTGATCATTCTCTTCACATTTCCAACATAGCTAAAGTGACCCAAATGTGTTACCATACCCAGATATTGGTTGAAATAGTTTCTCAATACTGATCTCTAACTTTATTGAATTGTGGTCTAATAAAACAAAAGAAGTCATTTCAATTTTCTTGTATCTACTAACACCTGACTTATATCCTAAAACATTATTTTGGAGAATGTTTGAGCTGCTAAGAAGAAATTCTGGGGTGGAATGTTCTGCAAATGTCTGTTAAGTATATTCCCTCTATAGTGATATTCAAGTTTGAAGTTACATGTTCACTAGACTTGTCTGGATGACAGAGTTGTGGATTGAAGTCACCTTGTATTTATGAAGAAGTATAATATATGTTTGTATAACCAATAGTGTTTACTTTATGAAACTGGATGTGCCAACATTCAGTACACATGTGTTTATGTCTTATATCCTCCTGATGGATTTTTCCCCTTATCAATACTGTGTCCTTCTTTGGAGCATCTAATTTTGGTTTGAAGTAAGATTGTCATACACACACACACACACACACACGCACGTGCACGCGAACACATTTGTTTCAGTTTGTATTTTCTCAGAAATTCTTGTTCTGTCCTTTCACTTTAAGCCCATGTCTTTGCCAGCAAGGTACCTTTCTTGTAGGCAAAAAATGACTGAGCTTGTTTCTTAACTCAGTTTTCCACTCTTTCTTATGGTTGGGACATGAAGATTATTTGCATTCAGAATAATATATAAGCATGTAGTAATTCCTGTGTTTTTATTGAATTTGTAGGGTTTCATTTTTGTTCTTCTCATTTCCTTATCCATGGATCAAGTGATTTTTCCTGTATTTTTGTGAGTGTACTTATCTGTCTCTTTAGAGTGTAGAATTCTTTTAAGTACATTCTGTAGTGCTGGTGTACAAGTGATGATTTTCTTTAGTTTTTGTTTATCATATTATATCTGCTTCAAGCATGAAAGATGACTTTGCTGGATATACTAATCTAGGTTGTCAGTTACTTTCTTCCATGACTGGAAACACACCATTCCAAGCCCCTCCCCCCACCACCTTGTTTTTTAAAAAGGGTTTCTATTTAAAAAGTCCTTTGTGGGCTGGAGGTTAGACTGAAGTGGTAAGAGTACCTGCCTAGAAATCACGTGTTCCTGAGTTCAAACTCTACTACTTCAAAAAAGAAAGAGAAAGAAAGAAAGAAAGAAAGAAAGAAAGAAAGAAAGGAGAAAGAAGGAAAGAAAGAGAGAAAAAAAGGAAGAGAGAGAGAGAGAAAGAAAGAAAGAGAAAGAGAAAGGGAAGAAGAAAGGAAGAAAGAAGTCCTGCCTTGCCTTAGGATGCAACCTTATTTGGAGATAGGATCACTGTAGATTTAATTAGTTACATTTAGATGAGGTCAAACTAGAGAACGATGGGACCCAGATCCAATGACTGATGTTCTTTTGAAAGGGACAATTCGCACACAAATACAGACATCCACGGAGGCCAGATGTCATGTGAAATTTTCTCAGATAGTATTTCATGCCAAGGAAAGCCCAAGGATCCCAGAGATAGGCTGAAAGGAATGCAACGGCTTCTCCCTCAGATCTTCTAGCTGGCATGAATCTTCCTGGCACCTTAATCAGACTTCTTGCACCCTGTATGTAATGTTTTGTCTTTTTGATTCTCCAATCATTCAACATGTACCTTCAAACAAATTCCCATGGATTTACTCACAAGCACAAATTCATGTATGTTCACACATTTACATATATGTATACATATGCACTCACACATATACTCAATATAATCATGTGTATTTTTACAATGTTACTCTACTATCACACATCTATTTACACACATTAACACTCATAAAAACACTTGTACCAGTGCACACATTCATTCACACTTGAAGGTATATACATAATCATTTGGACAATATATTCATTCACAGATCATCTCACACACTCACATATTCACATTCACTTACCCATACTGAAATGTATTTTAAAACTCCTAATATATTCACACAAGCATAGTCATTAGCATACTGTCTCACTAACTGAAATACTCATTCATAATATCCACCATCTAACATAAGCTAATATAATATCCACTGCCACTCAATCAGTAACTCAGAAGTTCACACATTTTCACACATCACCTCACACATATTCACATATAAGGAACAAGGCTGACACTCCAGATATGATGCCCTGAGTTCCACCAGCAGTACTAGCAAACATGAGCCATCTGGTGCAGCCTGATGACACCCATTGTACCTTTAATGTCATGCCTGCCTACTTACTTTTGAGGAGCTCCCTGGTACGTCGGTGATTCAGAGATCATTACCTGTATCCATTAATGCCCTGTCAACTGCCAACTTGTTCAGCTGGGCTTCTTTGACTCTATAAGGCATTATTTCTGAGTTGTGAGCACCTCTGCATTTAGGACACTCCACAGTTCTTGTGAACCCTGCCCAACATATTTCTCAAAATTAGCCCAGTCCTTTTTTGTTTGTTGTTTTTTATTTTTATTTATTTATTTTTTGTGATCCTGGGGCTTGAACTCTGGGTCAGGGCACAGTTCCTGAGCTCCTTTTGCTCAAGGCTAGCACTCTACCACATGAACCACCGAGCTACTTCTAGCTTTTTTTTTGTGATTAATTGGAGATAAGATCTCATGACTGGCTTCAAACTGTGATCCTCAGACTTCAGCCTCCTCGGCAGCTAGGATTACAGGCATGAGCTACCAGTGCCTGGTTAATCCAGGTGCTTTGACCCCTCGATCCAACCCAACTCATCCAAGCAGAGGCAGGACACAGTAAAAACATTAATGAAATTTATATAATAAAAATGTTTGCTGAAACCATTGAGAAAAAGAGAGTGAAAGCAAAGAGAGGAACTCTCCACAGCTGTCTTCAGGATCACCCACTGTGGGCTGACCCTGCCCATGGTCAGCACACGACAATTCTGAGATGCTGGAAAGAACAGCAGAAAATTCCCCCACTGGGCAAAGGAAACTGAGTCACAACGAGCCACAGAAACAAAACATCAAAATACAGTCATCAGACCCCCCACAAATCCCTGGTCTGGGTCTTCTTGCCCAAATTTAAAATTCAGGTCACAGAAGAGCACTCCTTATCGTCCATCCTTCCCAATGGCTCCTGGGACTGGGCTCAGGGACTCTGGGGTGGAATTGCTCAGAGAAGAATATAATCCACACATGTGCACACAGGTCCATGAGAACCAGCGGCAAGGCTGCTGTTCTAGATCTAGACCAAGAAAGCAGAAGTTGAGCTCATGACACTGGACAAAAAGAGGAGCTTGGACGCCATGGGAGGAAGCTCATGGCCTGTGCTCAGACCTTGAAGTGGCTGGCCAGGTGAGTAAGGGCCTCTGCCTGGGCTTGACACACACCTCATACCTCTGCACAGGAAGAGTGGTTAGTGTGGGGGGCGGGCTCTTGTCTGACAGCTGGGGTAACTAAGGGGCCTACAGGTAAGGGTGGGCTTATCCAGGAAAGGAAGTAGCCTGTCTGGGGAGAGGCAGGCAGCTGGCAGTTTTCAAATGGTGTCTTCTCCCATATGAGTTCCAGGCACCCTTATGTAGGCTGGTGTCTTAGAAGATGCCTCCAGCTCAGCCATCCAAGTTGGCAGGGTTTGAGCTGGTCTTGGCCTTATCAGCTGCTAAGTTGTAACTTGCCATGCCAGGCTCTGGAACTCCCTGCTCGTTATCTCCGGTTCTGCAGTCTCCCTGCAGGAACAAAAAGAACCAAACGACCCCACGCCACGTCCTCCCTCCTCTGCTGCTTCTGTTAGAACAAAGGCTGCCCAACACACCCACTCATTCCCACGGCAGTTCTAAAAAACTGTCCCAGGGAGAGTCCTGTGTCCCTGTAAGCGGGGAGAGGGGGTGGTTTCGTGAATCTTCCCACACAGCTTGTCAGGCTGCAGGGGAGGAAACTGCCTCTGGGTGGCTCTGGCCTCCCAGGGCCTTTGGGTCTAGGGACCCAGCTTTTACTCACACAGGGGCTCCAGGATTCTGCCCTCCTGGGCTTCCCCTGGAGCAGTGTGGATGATTCTGAAGACAAGCTGCAGCCTGGGCTTTCCATCTGGGGTCTTCTCTCTGTGTCCTGCAGCACTGGCTCTTTCTGGCTGGGGCAGGCCTGTATATGCCCAATGCAACCTCACATTTAGTGAGTAGGCTTAAATCAGAGCTCCCATGGTGGGCATCTGGAGGTGGCCATGTCACTGGGTTGACACCCAGACCACAGACCACAGCCTCACTATCTTGGGCCTCTGCTTCATTGAGTCCTATAGTGGAGTTTTTGATGCCTTCTGGGCTAGGAGGGTCCGTTTCTTGCATGTGTCCCTGACACTTCATGGGGTCCCTGTGTGTGGCCTCCAAAGAGTTGGGTGCCATTTGGTCTTGGTTGGTGGCAGCTGGTGAAGGGTGAGGGGGTCTGGCCTGGGCCTGGCAGCTTTGCCCTTCTGCCCCCCCTCAAGTCTCCTGCTATTTGTCTGGACTGCCCTTTCCATTTTTCCAGTATGTCTTTTGTCTGCTTAACGTGTGGTAAAAGTGGGTGCCTTCTTCTGTGGAGCCTACTTGGCCTGGGGCTTGGGTTGGCTCTTATCTCAAGCCCGGTTTCCGTTTCCCAACTTTGCAATTGCAGCCTGCTTCTTCTGCTTCACCAAGCGCAGGTTGGAGGGGTTGAAGCACTGTACCCTGATGTGGCCATCTTCTCCACAACTGTAGCAGAATGTGTGATGGTTCCGGTTTCCTGCATCTCCAAAGCCAGCTCCCAGCACACTTCCCTTCCCACCTCTGCGGCCCCTCCTGCCACGGCGGCGACGGCGCAGGGAGCCCTGGGAAGGCCAGGTCTCTACACTCTGGTCAGAGGTAGGGACAAAAGGCCCGAACCCACTGACTCTGCTTGGTGATCTTGGGGATAATTCCAGCCCTTCCAGGAACTCCCTGTCTGGACCCATGGTAGCCTCCCACTCCTCCTCTTCCCGCAGGAGCTTCACTAGCGCCAGGAAACCTGGTGGCTTCCTGCGCTGTTTCATCAGCTTAAGCTTGTCTCGAAGTTTGTCAGTGAGAGTGGCTCCACCTAAAATTCGTTTCAGGCGAGTCTGATTCACATTCTTCCGTGGTATGACCTTTTTTTCAATAGCTTTTTGGAGCAGTGGCTCCAAACGGACCACAAAGTTGGAGACTTTCTCTCCTGGCTCCTGATAGGCTTTACAAAATTTTATCTGAGCCATCTTGCCATTCTCTACTGGCCCAAACACCTGCTGCAGGGCCTGCAGGCACTCCTTTACCGTAATGCCAGCATTATTTGCCCGAAGCACACTGACCACCTGCAGAGCAGGGCCTCGAAGGCACTCTATCAGCCTGCGCCTTTTTTCCATCTCAGGCACTTGCCACATCTGTAACATGTCAGTGGCATGCTCAAACCAGGCTTCAAAGGCTGACATCCCTGGGACAGCTACGGTGTTCCCAGAAAACACTCTTAGCTCTCGATACAACATTTGTTCTAGCAGAGGCTGAACTGTGACCTCCAGGGTCTGGGCCCAGTTCCAAACTTCTGGGTTAAAAGCCAGTCTAGGAGTAGAATTAGTATAGGATCCAAGGATTCTGTTAATGTCTGACACTGTTCTCCTCTCCTCCTCTAACAGGTGGTTCAATCTAGTAAGAAATTCACCATCTGAATTAGGAGGTTCGACAATCACCTCCCAGGGCCCCCCCTTGCCTACTATTTCTCTGGGGACTGAAGAACAGTCAAAATCTTCTGCAAATTCCAGGAGAGAAGCCTGGGCATTCTCCTCCCTCCTAAACATCCTGCCGATGACCCTGTATCTTCCCAGGTGCCTGAGAGCCGCGTGGACAGTCTCCTGAAAGTCATCCTCACTACAGTCCTCCGGAATGCCCAGGATCAGCATGGAGCGCTGGCTGTTCAGATGCTCCCCTCTACACCAGTCCTGCAACAGCGTCAACGGCATGTTTGCAGTTGCGGCGTATTCTAATTTACGTGTAAACACATCAATCGGAGCCAAAAATCCCCGTCCAGATCTCCAGTGCCTGCGAAGGCTAAGGGGGGCGGGGGGTGGGGGGGAAGAGCGAGGTGAAGGCCCGCCCCCCAGCCCGCCCCAGCCCCGTGCCACCGCCCCCGGAGGCGCCCGTGTTTCCTGTCCCGGGGGACCCCATCCGCGCCCTCCCCCGCCAGTGGGCCGATCCCCGTGGGTCGGGTCGGGTGGGCGTCCGTCCCCGCACCGGCCCCCGCACCCCAGGCTGCCGCAGTGGGTCAGGGCGCGACGCAGGGAGGGCGCCGGGGTTCCGCGCGGACGGCCGCCTCCACCCCTCCCTCCCCTCCTCCTCCCCGCCGCGCGCGGCTCTGGCGGGTACCTTCTGGTGGGGCCGGGGCTTCGTGGCCGTGGCCCGGGTCCGTGGCAGGCGGGGAGCGCACGCACGGGGCTCTCGGGCGGGCTGCGCGCGGCGGCGTGGGCGGTGGGCGGCCCCGGTTCCCGGTTCCCCGGCTCCCCGTTGCCGGTTCCCGGTTCCCCGGCGCGTGCGTGCGTGCGCCCGTGCGCTGCTGCGCGCTCTCCGGCTCGCTCAGCGCGTCTGGCTGTGGCTGTGGCTGTGGCTGTCTGGTTCCGGCACGTGGGCCGGTGCGTCCGCGCCTGCTCGCCACCGCTCTCTGCAGTGCGGACTCGGGGCGGGGGTGCGGCGGCGGCGGCGGCGGCGACGGCGTTGGCGGCGGCTGAGCCCGGACCCTCCGCGTCGCCCTGGAGACCGCCGGGCCATTGGCGCTCGCGGGTCACGGGACCGGGCCGCTGTGTCCGCCGCCACTGCCGCCGCAGGCACGGGGGGCCGCGGGTGACGTCAGCCGCACCGCTCCACGCCCCCCTCCCGCCCAGTCCCGGGTGACCCCCGCCCACCCGCCCGCCCACGTCCTGGGCGTCAAGAACCTGATTTCCAGGACCCCACGCTCCCCCCCAGCCCGGCCCTCCTATCTGGGGTCAGCCGCCCGACCCCGCCTCTGGAGACGTAGGATGCGCACTTGTCCAGGGCCCGCGAGACCAGGGAGTGATAGCGTCCTGCACTCAAGGCCACCAGAAAATGGTCAGAGGTGTGGCCAAGGCATGGGAACAGGGACCCTGAGGCTTTCCCAGCTCTCCTTAAATCCGATCCCACTCACAACGGCTCCGGTCCATAAACTAGAGGAGCAGTGCCTACCTGCCCAGTAGGGTCCCCTGGAGGGGATCCCACATGTGCTCACATAGGTTCATGCTCGACTGCCCATCTGGCTGGAAGAAAGGGACTGCAGGCAGGCCTGAGCCTGCAGTGGCGCCACTGTGGAAGCAAAAGAACTTTCCTGCCCTGGGGCCAGTGTCCAGGAGACGGGGGTGACCTATAGCACAGTTTGCATGGCCCTTTCTCTGCATGACGAGTCAAGGGTGGTGGACTGCATTTGCCCTACACAGATGAAAGACCCTTGATATTGAACCCAACACGCTAGGCCTCGTTTTTCCCAGTCTCTGAACCTATTTGTTTGGTGTCAGGGAGGCAATTGAATGAGGGAGACATTGACTCCCCTTGAGGCAGAGTACCATTCACCTAACTCTTTGTGATCATGCTTGCTTGGAGGGCTAGATCCCAGCCTCCTGTGGGCAGCATTCTATCCTCTTGTCTGCCCACCAGGAGCATGCATGCCTGCTCAGACAGGGAGCCATCCAATGAGGTGTTATAAACCACCTTGTATAGTAATGTGACACAAAACTGTCCACATGACTTGGGTCCCATCCGGGAGGCCTCAGATTTGTATGTGTCATTGTTCTGTCAGTTGTCAGGGATCCAAAAGCAATGGCCCCTGATGGCTTTTCCTTGGTCAGATTGAATTTTTAATCTCTTTATGGGAATCATTTTAGTTACTACTCACCAGAACCCTGTAAGGTATGTTTATTAACACTGTCCTTATTTGACTCATGACCCTTAGACAGGTTAAGAGACTTGTGCAAGGTCAAATACTTCATTGTAGTTGAATCAAAACTAGATCTTAAATCCCTGTCCATCTGTCTTTGAGTACAGTTGGGACCATTGCTCCCTGGTTGTTTTACCCTCAGAATTTATTTTTCAGATTTCCATATATTCAGTAGTCCTTCCCACATATATTAGTGAGACTGCTGGTTTAACTTCACATTTGTAGAATTCCCTCTTGTGGAAATATGACGCAATTGCCTTGCTCTGAAAGTGGTGATTTACCTTCTATGGCATGTAGAATGGGACATTGTCACTGGTGCTTTGAAGATCAAGAATGTATGTGTTGGCATGCTCGTTGCAGCATTATTTACCATAGCTGATATGTGAAATCAACCCAGATGTCCCTCAGTAGATGAATGAATCAAGAAGATGTGGTAAATATACCCAATGGAATTCTGTGGTTCCATCAGAAAGAATGGCATTGCCCAATTTGTAAGGAAAGACCTGGGGAAAAATATATATTAAGCGAAGAAAACCAGACCCAAAGAAAAGTAGGTTGAATGGTAACCCTCATTTGTAAGAAATAGAATATGTCTATGATATTCTTAACAGGGGATATCAATAACCCAACTGCTTTGTGCATAGGACCATATACAATGAAGCGTATCAACATGAACTCCAAGACATGGGAACAAGAGGTGCTTATTATGCCCTATATATAGTTTCTCTTTCTTTCATTTTTTTCTCTTTTCTGTACCTTGTGCCTCATGTATAAATTTATTCAATCTGTGGAAGGGAAAGGGAATCACAGAAACATCAGGACAAAGGATGAACTAATGCAACATTGACATTCACTTGTTACTATTTTGAATATGAACCTTACATCTTGGGGGGAAGGGGTAAGTGGGAATAAATGAGGAATGGGGTAACAGTATTTAAAAACAAATGCATTCCTTACCTTACTTATGTAACTGTAAACTCCTGTTCATCACCTTTTCAATAAAAAAAGGAAAAAAGGAAAATTTTCAAAATTACACTTCAATTCCAGAATTTAGATAAAAATAATCTTAGCTCGTTGAAATAAATGTTCTCAACATCCCAAAAAATAATGTATGTGTTGTTCCATAAAAATGTATGAGATCATTCAGAATGCATCTCTCTAAAAAATATTCATTTGGAAATTGCTAAACCAGCCCCTTGTATTCTTTTCTTTTATTAGACCTTTTACTTTCTTTCTTTTTTCTTTTTTTCCAGAGCTGAGGACTGAACTGAGGTCCTTGCACTTCACAGGCAAGTGCTTTTCCACTGAGCTAAAACCCCAAGCCCATGTTCTGGTCCCACCGTTACCACTCCAAGGGTTCAAATCTTCATTGCTTGAGTTTCAGGGACAGAAATTTAGGCTCAGCAAAGGGACACTACAAATATAATGTCAGTGAATAAATTTCAAAGCTGTGAGCTGTCAAGGGGAAACATCCAGTGGTGTGAAGACAAGAGGGTATGTCAGGAATTTCTCCAGATAGGACACTGTTAGAAGTCCCAGACAGGTGGCTGTTGTGTACATCAGAAAAGGATTCAAGAATACCAAGCATAGAGGTGATAGGTAGAATATGTTCAGTTTGAAAAGTTTATGAACGCTTTCCCAATTGAATTTAGTCACTGACCCTGGGGCAGTAGAAATGATTTATTTGCTTTTATGTCTCCACTATCTGGTATGGTAGCTAGCACAAAAGCATTACATTTGGGGACCAAATGGATAAACACCACTTGTGAGGTGAAAAGTGTAATAGATGGAGAAGGATAACCAGTGGCAGCTATCACTAAGAGGGCAAGTTTGTGGAGTCCACCTCTGGAAACTGAACTGATGAGTCTAACATAGGCTGAGCAATTGTGTTTACAAAGGCTTCTCATAATTAAATTTAAATATAGAAAAATTCAGTGGCTAGCACTGGTGGTTCTCACCTGCAATCCCAGCTACTCAGGAGGCTGACATCTGAAGATCTTGGTTCCAAGCCAACCTGGGCAGGAAAAGTCCATGAGACTCTTATCTCCAATGAACCACCAGCCATCCAGAAATGGATCTGTGTCTCCAGGGTAGAGCACCATCCTAGAGTAAAGAAGCCAAGCAAGAATGCCCAGGCTCTGAGTTCAAGCCCCAAGTACTAGCACACACATACAAAAAATTCAACAAAGTTTAGCATATAAAAAGGTAAAAAGGGGCTGGAAAGGTGGCTCAGTGGTAGAGCGCTTGCCTTGCATGCCTGAGTCCCTGGATTCGATTCCTCAGCACCACATAAGCAAAAAGAAAAAAGCCGGAAGTGGTGCTGTGGCTCAAGTGGTAGAGTGCTAGCCTTGAGCTGAAGAGCTGAGGGACAGCGCCCAGACCCAGAGTTTAGGCCCCATGACCGGACCCCCCAAAAAAAAAAAAAGGTAAAAAGGAAAGCACAACCGCTACTTTATCTATAGTAATTTCAAGCAAGAGAAATCAGTAATATCCCCTAACATAGCTATTAAACCATATTCACAATCAAATTCAAAGGTACAGAGAAGTAACAATTGACATCCCGCAGAGTTAGCACCATTAAACTGACATTATAGCACTGATATGGAACTTGATAGAGCTATTTTGGAGGTAGACATGGGGAAGATTGTGGTTTGAAGGCAGCATAGGAGAAAAGTTAGCAAGACCAAATCACAACAAACAAGCCAAGCAAATCATACTCATTCAGTGGTACACTTACACATTCCATATTCAAAGCCACACAAACTCAGACACAGAATGGCATACTCATATGCTCATACACAGTATATGCCCTCACTGATTCACAGCCTTCTCATTTTCAGACACACCCACTCCCCCACATTCTCAGTGACCCACACTCTCAACAACACATAGGCATCGACAATCACATACCTTCACTCTCATTTAGTCTCACATACTTGGAAATTCACATGAACACATCTGCCCCCGTGCATGCCCACGTCATATATACCTTCACCTACTCCCTCACACCACTCCAGTCACACCTACTTAGCCATCACAGCACAGCATCCACAAGCCCTC